ACCACAACGTTCACGGGAACCAATAATCTAATCCCTAAAAACTTCGTGCCTATAAGCTATATATAATCAACTAAATATAGTAATAAAAATAAGGTAAATCTATAAAGTACAAAATAAAAAATAGATATTCAAATATAGTATAACTAAAATAAGAAGAAAAGAAAAAAAAAATAAAGTAACACGATTAACAGTTCAGGCCGCAAGATTGACATATGATCGTCATATGACGGAGGTGCAGAAAATTTTTCACATGACGATAGTAATACTCCCCTATCTAGGGCTCACATCTTCAGAAAGTTAAGGATCCTGGAAGAAGAAAAATTGTTTGTTTAGGCAGGTTGCTCCTGGGTCATACTCTAGCATAAATTTAAGGTTTACTTTATTTTTACTGCAATAATAAGACAGATCAAGAGAATCTTTATTTGTACAGGAATATAGTAATCTTACGGTTTGCATGTAGGTTTAGCTAGCTAAAAGTATTCTTGTAATTTACTTCCGATTAATAAAATAAAGATAGGATCGCTGAAGTAAAAAAAAAAAAAAAAGTAGAGTTTAAAGTACTAAAAACAACTATAAAATGTATGTTAAAGTTTGGATAAACTCTATAAGAGCAGAGTAATGGTAGCAATTTAGTAGTAATTTAGTAGTAATTCTGTTTGTATAGTAAAAAAACCAAGTATATAATTTTTGTGCGGCCAAATTAGATAGTTTAATATATTGCTACGTAATATTAATATCTTCGCAAATGATTAATATATTTGATAATGATAAGGTAAATGTTTTTTCTAGGTATTAAATAAATATTTTTACCCTTAAATAAATATCTTAGCTAGTTATTAAATAAACATTCTTCGCTAATTAATAAATTAATATTTTTGCCAATTATGTATTTTATTGGATCTTTCTACGTAGTCATTCGTATTTTTCAATTTCTGTTATTAATTAATCGGTCTGGGTTCGGGGACCAAAAAACTTCCGGTCCCAGTTCAAAGACCGGTATTTTTCAGGACCGATCACAACCCTACCCGTTGGGCCGACCCATTCCCACCCTATATGTAAGATAACATAGGTCAAATATTATGGCATACGCGATGTTTTGACGGTTATAATGTTATCGAGTTACGTCCATTTGACTTTATAACTTCACATAAGTCTGCCTTTTATTCATAATTTCAATTGGATGTTGTTATTTTAGAATCTTTATTAAACGAACTAAATTCTTATATAAGCTATTCAAGCTCATAAATGCTTACTAATATATCCGATTTGTTTAGCGAGATCCATTATATCTATTACACTAGTTACTAAAGATGCTGGTGAAATTAAACTAGAGTGGTGAAATAATTTCACTATTATTGATGAAATTGGTGTTGAATTGGTGAAATTTGGCGAAATCAATTTCACCAACATCTCTAGTAGTTACACCTATTACAATCATTACCGACCATTACACCTATTATAGCAAAAAATTACAGCTTAAAAATAAAAGATTGTAATTTTCCAACTTCGCTAAACCTATTATGGCATGCAACCTTACCTGGTTGAGATTTTCTTCGATCTCTGTCTCGAAATAAGTCTTCTTATTTCGCAATTTTCTTGATTGTAGAAAATAATTAACATTTGATATTATATTTTAGTGTTTTATTATTATTATTATTATTACAAATCTACCTTTTTTTCCTGGGCGGATTCTCCTCCTCTTGTTGATAATTAGTTTCATTCGGCTCATAGATTGCTATTGAAATATCACTGACACTACTCTTTGTCTCTTCATCGCACTCTTCAATAATATCATCTGTATTTAATGTATCTAACTAAATACAGATATTACTCGTTACTATATAATTTTATAACATTATCCTGCATAACCAATCATTATCTTCAATGATATTCCTACTCTGTCATTACACCCTTGATTTGTGAAAAAGTAATTTTCAACTTCTTTTAAATTAGTTTCTTCGGAAATTTGATTAATTT